TACCTCAACTAACTGTTTGCCTGCGTTTTGTCAATAGAGCTGCGAAGGTCATTTGCTCAGAGCATCCTGCAGTGATTTCCATTTGATTATATTTTGTTTTCCACTGCGCTTCGTGCTATTTGTTCACGACCTGAGAATCTTTTTGCCATTTGTTAGGAGAATTCTCCACAGGCTAATTTGACCACAGTCTATTCGCACCCCCTGCCCCACGCCGCAGCCACCACCCCCCGCCCCTGTGCTCCCAGCAGCATTGTGCCTGTCACTGATGCATCTGTCTCCACTGGTATCTATAAATACCCCCTTCTCTCCCCTTCAAAAACCTGATTCCCATTGATTTAGTGACCTATATACACATCACCGTCATCCCCTCCCTTCCTCCGGCTCTCTGCTCCTTCTGTAGATGGTCCTTTGCTGTCTCCACCTCTGATTTCCTCTTTCCTTCATCATCCTTTCCCATCAAGCCCAACTTAGACCACCTCTTCCTCCACCTTCTCCCATCCTCTTGTTAGAAAGCAGGAAAGGCTAATAATAGTTCACGGTGGAAAGCTTTAGTCATGACACATGAAAAGGACTCGAGTGAGGAAAAGAACAGTAGCTGGTGCTTATTTCTGTATTTCAAAGTGTTGTCATTGTGGTAAAATGAGCCTTCAGCTAATCTGCTGTGCGTGTAAACACTGGAGTGGATAGGAAAGGAGTCTCTCAGAGAGGAACAGCATTCAATGTGAAATCTAACTCTGCCTAAATAAGATCAAAGACAAAGACATACAGAAAAAGAGAGAGTGGGGTGTGTGTGGTGTGCATGCAGGGCTGTATGAAAGTGCTATGATGTAATAATGCTGCAGGCTGCTGCAAAATAGCACCCAGAGAACTAATGCCATGAACAAAATGTTAAATTCATTGCAAACAGCAAAGGATTAATAATGAATATGTTCTGCTGAGACAAGCAGGAATCCTAAACCCCAAACATTAGGCTAAATTGCACAAGAAAATGCACTTATTCCTATCATGCAAGTTCTAAACACATAGACAGACCTTATTCAGCGAGTGCAACCACAAAGAGCTCAGTTAAAAGAGGCTCAGCTGCCTATAAGCTCTGCCACAGCTGTAAGAGACTAACAAAAGAAAGCTGAAACAGTGAGTGAGATCGGAGCGCGTGATTTTCTACCACACCACCCCAGCTTAGCATACACCTGTAGTATAAGGCGCTGTTCTGCTCTCTTCCCACTCCCACTAGAGGACCACAGCTCTACTGCGACCCCACACTGACACCTGGTGGCTTCATCGGGCAAAAATCATAACAGCAGTCACAGCTGCTTCCGTGCCCCGAAGAGCCACAATGTCATCCTTGTAGTCTTCAAAACATAGCCCTACTGTTTAGTCTTCATAGCAGTATTACACGTGAAAAAAAACGCTGTGTCAGTTCTTCTTTGTTCTCTCGGACGACCGCCGGACCACAATAATGAGAGTTGGAAAAAGTGTGACACTCAGCACACAGACAACCACAACAGGAGATTTCAGGACAGTGAGTTTATTTAACAGCGAATTGTGACAGGGAACACAATTTATTTATTTTCCATTGCATTGTAAACCATGTCTAAAACAACCGTGTCATTCACCACATATTCATAAACACTCTCTATGTCATTGAGAGACTTTGTAGGTGGACAGCGGGGGTGGGGGGTCCTCGATTTCTAAAGTGCTATAATGCACAATTCCTCTTGGAGGAAGAGAACAGAGGCCGTGAAATGAGCTCAGACCCCCCAAAAGGCCTCCAAGGTCCCCCCAGCTGCATTATTCATACACCGTGTTTCCTGTGACTGACGGATGGTGTTCAGTGTTTACTTTTTTCCTACTGAGTGTCTGTGTGTGTGTGTGTGGCTTTACTTATTGCATATCAGTGAGCTGGTTCGTGAAGTTTCTCGGTGAATGTGTAAAGCACAAATCTTTAGATTAAAACGTAATAAACTCTTCACTATATTCATAATACATCTCATCTACGTTACATTCTTATATTAGATTCGTTTAGAATATGTACGGGATATACATTTGTGGATAACTGGTGACGGCTGACATAGTGAACACCATCACGTTGGGTCTCTTATAATGACCTGTTGTCTCAGCCCTATGGATCCAGTTTTACAGACATACATAAGCTGACATGTTCATTTCATTCAAGACTTCTGCACAGAAATAAATCAAGACTAAATAAATCACGTCTGCAAAAGCAGCACATGGATTTCCAAGATTTCGAGTATCCAAAGCGGGTCTCTTGTGCCTAATGATCCTTTGTGCTTTCTTTGATTGTATACACTCCGGGTCGTACATTTGGTGTTTTAAAAGCTCCTCTGTGTTAGCCCCGCACCCTGGCGACAGATGCTGGACAGATTGGATGGCAGAGGAGGGCAACAGATAGAAAGAACGGGAGGGGGGAGGGCACTGGACCGACAATCAAGAGAATCAAGAGAAAAATACCGCGGTGTCACACTAACAACTACACATCAACTACACCACTACACCGTCAGACACGCACGCACATACACACAAAAAACCTAATGCACAAGGTCAGTTTAAATTCACAGCAGGGTTAAAGAAAATTGGCTTGCGCAGTGAGTTCAAAGTTTGGGCAAAAAAACAGATGGGAACAATCCGAGAACAACGAGGGAGGGGTGGGCTTTTAAAGGAAATCTGGACGAGACAAACGTAGGCATTGATGACATGATGACAATAACAGCAAATACGAAATGAACTTGGAATGTGGAAAAGAAAAAAAAAAGAAAAATTACAGCGGTACTTTATGAAGCCAAGCTCACATGAGCAGACGGGCCATCTTATTATCTGCCAACATGGCTGGAGGTGCCAGATGATGTCCCTCACTGACCTATGGCTTTCAGTTAAGACATTGATAACGCTGAGATTAGCTCGTAGTGATTCAGTCAGTGTGGCCTTGGTCGTTAGTGCAGCCACTGTCATATTGCAGCCACCTCATGAAAGAAGCACCATTCAAAACAGACAGATTTTCTTTACCGTCCGATGCCAGCAGGTCTCTGTCGGCTTTCACATTTAATTTTTAGAACTCTTTAAGCATTTCTGCGAGTCGTTAACTTAAAAC